AATGACAAATATCAGAACGGATTAAGCTCAATTTTCCTTACAAAGCCAAATATTCCGCGAACGTTACTGAAATTTACAATAATGTGAAGGTAAGACCCAAGAAACCAGGGGTGAACGAGTATTCGTGCTCTAGTACTAAATTCCCTCTGGGCCAAAACACGTGCAAAATAGCGAACGTAAAATATTGTCAACATTAATCAATATAGACGTAAATTATTCAATGGAAATCACGGTTGTCTTGAAAGAAGAATTAGCTACCATAAAGGACCAAAATTCCAATCATGACGAATTGACCAGGGAACAGTTGTCCAGAACGCACGCATCGAAAGGATCAGACCTCAGCAACAATGCGGTATTAAGTATGACACTGAAGTAATTAACGGCCAGATGTGAAGACAGAAAAACACACAGATGGCTCGTCATGTATGATTAAGGATTCAAGGAAATGTGAAAGATTCAACTCTCCGGAAAAATGTCACTTTAACTTTCGTATCGAACACCATCACATTCTGACATGAAAACTTTGTACAGCTCTAGCGTCTAAACTCGACAATCTACTTGAAAACTTACTGTACTTGAAGATCATACCATTACTCAAAATAAATTCCGCTTGCGGAAAAAAAAAAAAATAGAGCGATGGTTAAAAATGCCGACTGACATCATTCCCCACTAAGTTGAATCGGTTACGTAACGGCAGTTCGCTTCACTTCGTTGATCATTCAAGGGGTGAAAATACTGTATATCAGTCGAGCATAGTCAGTACTTCACTCCAGAATCGCAATATATTTACCCAATACCATTGTTCTGCACTGTATTTCATCTCGATTCACGTACTACCGTACAATATCAACCAATTGTATTTCCGGTATGCAACGGTTTCAATCAACTCGTCCTCACAAAAGATAGGAGACCCTGAGTAACTTATTAGATTTAAAATATTTTTGAAGTCAAGACGCGTAGAACTTTATGACGTCTCGTACTATTCCAAAGCATGGAATTTCATTGCAAAATATGTACAATATCCATGAATAGCATTCGAACAAGGTCGAACTGAAGAAAATCTCGAATATTTTCCAAGACGAAAACATGAGGAAAACGGGTTTCGCAGAAAGTGAAACATAAGATCGAAGTCAAGGTCAGAAGGGTTTCCGTTGCCCCACAAACAGCATCCCAAATTCCGCCAAAAGGTCTAAAAACAAAAGAACCCCTTCCAAACCCAACATTCGAAAACGCAACATGATCCCTCGCAAAGAACCTCAATAAATCAGTGAAGAAATAAAAACAGCGCGCAGAAAAACTGGACCTTCGCTTCATTCATCAATTTCTAAACCACGAAAACCGCGATAACCGAATCCACACATCACATTCTTCGACAAATGAGTGGGATAATAAAAAAAATTAATATCCGGCTCTCGTACTTGGATCATTCGATAAAAAATCTCGTAAGCATCGTAAGCAGCAACAAACAGACTTGAGCGTGGCTTTCCCATTCCGGGGTTCACGAACGCAGGACGTGGAACTCCGCATCTCGAAGGCCAACCACTGTTAATGAACATAAGCTAAGCCAGCATGTTAAAACTGGCTTCTGCTTCAAGAGACCCGATGATATTCCTCAACGAAAATAAAACATCGCGGACAAAGAAAAGCTAGAAGGAACGCGAACGAGAAAAATAAAACAACCCCCGGCCCCCACAGCAACGGACGCTCGTACAGCATAATAATAATATACAAAAGGAAAGAAAGAAGCGAACAGGCCTTGATAAGCAGATAGGAAAAAGGAAAATAGAAAAAGTGGAGGGAGCAAAGAAATAGGGGAGCGCCCGCTGAACAAAGAAGTCGCACAAGGGCGCGAGATCATGCAGGGGAAAATTCTGTCCTCCCTATTTTATCCATCCCTCTTTTTCCGATAGTAAGCTAAGACTTACACACATGGGGCAATACCAAAATCTCGAGCGTATTCGTCTGAAACTCCATGAAGCATATCCGGATATTGCATACAATCAGACGGAGTTTCTCAAGCTAGCCTTTTCCGAAACTCAAACTTCAACTGCGAAGCTTACATGCGGAAATTTCCAAAGAGAATATTTAAAAAAAATTCCTGACTGTAACTCAGTCCTCGAAGATCTTTAGTTACAAATCAAGAACACGAAAATAAAATAAAATATCGAATTTATCTTCCTCCGACTTTTTCGAAGCAACCGAGGATCCCTCAGGAACCAAAATTACAATCTCTGAAGAATCCGCGAAATTTCATGTCAACCTACACATTTTCTTCGAACCGAGAAACAAATTCATTATGCGGAAAACCACGAATTCTTAGGACTCCAGAGAAGTTAATTATCTTCCACGAACGTGTTTCAGCAACCAAGTCATCAAATTCCACTTAGCGTTAATCGTTCATCGATCGGGAAAAAATATGACACCGGCAAACCTCACTTCATCTTTCAGACTTCACCAAGAATTCACACGGCCTCCTGAAGTAAATTTCTCAACAGAATGCCATGCTCAATAAATTTCCACACAAAATTACAAATTCCAAACGAACTACTGTTGGCCCAATCCGAAAACGTTAATATCCCCGCACGCACCGTATATTTCAAGAACGTCCCATTAAAAACGACTAAACTTCAAGACTACCCCTCCAACGTACTCCTCCCTCCCTCCTTCTCAAAGCGGGATGGACAAGTAAAAAATAAATAAATAAACGCCGAGTGGGGCAATATCACGCAGACAACGAGAACAAGGCTGGAAGAAGCAGTGGGGAATGGATAGAAATAGAAAGTGTAGTCGTGGGAGAAGTTGCGAGCAGCCAGTGCAATACATCCAACCAGTCAGTCTGTCGCTCGTTCGCTCACCCTACGGTTTCCTCAGCCATCTTCCTCCCGCATGAAAAGAACGAAAAACGCGGCACCGAAAAAATGTAAAAGGGTGGAGAGACAACTAGAAAAAAAAGAAGCATACCGAGCGAGAGAAAAAGAAGGGCAACCTTTTTTTTCTCCCTTTCGCAACCGTTACACGCGTTAAATGTTGTGGACGACCGTGAAACCTAATCCAAGCATCCATTTTTCGGCGACAATAGACTTGAATATGTTACGTACCACCGATGTCGACGAGTTTGTTTTTGAACCGAGACTAGTCTTCCTAAAATCGACTTCTACATGGGACCTACGAAGCGACAGTCAAGTCACAGCACGTGATGAATCAAAAAAGAAAAATGATATGGACTGGATCTGATCGGCTTGAAACAGCGATATTTCCTATAACGTATGATTGACCGAATAACATCACCGTCAACTTTTCCAGCTGATCATTAAAAAACAAGAGACTCGTCATAACCTATAAATGACACCAATTAAGTTTGGCACTGTTCGCTGAATTTTACCACGAATACCAACATACTCTCGTCTGTTCGACTAAGAAAGGAGCCAAAAAAAAAGACAGATAGGATATGGAGCCACAAGAAAAACTTTCATGACACACGTCTTCGACTGAGAGGGTGAATGAATTGGAGCTCCAACTCAATTTCGAACAATCAAGTGCAGTCACATTCATCACAGTTTCATAGTTTGATCACATGTTCAATGGTAAGTTCAGTATTAATGTACAACAGCGCCATAAAAGTATGAATTCATCTCGAAAGGTTACGTTCCGTGAAATACGTGCCTTAGCGTACTTATTTTGTGAACAAAACAAAAAACACAACTTTCATCAACTCCCTGCAATAAAGCTAAATATATTTTTTTCAAACCCATAACGCCAGTTCATTATACTGTACCACTTGAGCTCGACTTTGTTTGTTCCATAATTGATGTCTGCCCTAAAATTGAAACACATTCTAACACGAAGTCCCCCACGGGATTTGCACGCATGAATGTCCGAAAATTTTTAAACGAAGGGGCTAAAGCCCTAAACGTAAAAAACAGCCCCTTTTACGAAACAACAATCAAGTCTGAACGCAAGTTCGATCAAACACAGACTGCTAAAGACAGCTGAAATACGCAAGTTAAATCTAGCAACAGATCAAACGCCCCAACGTTCGGAGGCATACAAAAATGTAACATGAGTATGAACTGTAAGAATTACACGCGACATCTTCCGAAAGAACAAAAAAAAAGTATAATCCATACTGATACTGCAGCACCGAAGACACGTCAGACGGTTTCGACTGTATACTGTACAGCGAAACAGAAGGATTGCTTTAAAGACGAGTCATTCCTCAAATACAGTACCTTACCTTCACCTTCCTTTATATCGAATTTAAAAGTCTGCGTCGGACGGGAGAGAAAAAAAAACACACAAATTCTTGGAGATTAGAAACAAAAATCAGAATGGTTCCCTGGCACTCGAAGTGCAGTACAGTACTGTACTGTACCATGCCATACGGATGGAAATGAAAAATAAGAGCCTCATGCTCTGCGAACTCCGTACACACACACACACACTATTATTTGCCCGCCCTCACGTTCCTTTCCTTTCTGCCCCTCCGCCGTCTCTCATTTCGCCCCCTTTCTTTTCATATCCCACACGCCTGCAAGAGTAGGGGGGGGGGGGGGGTTAGGCTAACATTTCAGTAGCCGATGGAGTAAAGAGCAACCATACATATTTTTTTGGGACATGCTCTTCCTTTCATAAAAACGGTTCCCGCGGGTTGCTTTTAACACGTTGACCATGTACCCAGCACCTCAGGGCCGCGGTTTATTACCGAGTTCCCAGACTTTGGGAACATTGAGGCGCACAGAAACAATAATTAGGCAAATCACACCAGTCCAGGGAAAACGAAATGAAACCCGAGAAAAGGAGACTGCTCTAAAAAAAAAGACACAGAGAGCAAAACTAAAGAAATGATGAACTTTTGAGGCAAGAAATTTCTGACACAGTAACAAACTCTGGAATCATACGCAGGTTCATCTGAGGACCAACGACGGCCCGAAGGAATAACAAAATTTCGAAGATTTGAAAACTAATTAAAAGTCCCGATGACTAGAAACCTCAATTTCGGATCATAAACCGCCAGGAACATCTCCTCTGAATTCCGAAGTAGGTACTGCATTAGCTCCAGAACATAACCTGAACATGACAAACGGGGAAACACATTTCCTGGGCAGAACTTTGAACAGCATTCCTTCACAGAAACTACAATATTCTAGGAATTTCCGCGTCACTCTCGTCACATAAAAGCAAAAAAGATAGATAAAACGCAGAAGCGTTCCACGTAAAAGATGTGAAACGAGGAAAACTCATTCAATCAATGAAACGATTCGTCATCCATCAAAGAAGCGCTACGACGACACGAAACTTGGATGATTTCGACAGCGCGAAAACGACAGTATTTGGATTAGTTTTTCAACCGGATCTAACTACTCCTAGTTCCAAGAGTTTCTCAATTAAAGTCCATGTTCTGTGCAAAAAAATCCCAAAAAAGAGTAACCTGGACTCATCGAGTCTGTTTATACAGTTGAGCATTCCGTACCGTCCTTCATACAGCATCGCTACGATATGGTCATCACAGAACTGCTTTAACAAGCATACCGATTTTAAAAAGTTCAAAAATATCGGTCAAAAATGTTAGAAAACATCGCTCGACACCACTCGCTTCTTCATCACTAAGCAACACGAACGCGGCAGAGAAAGAACCCTGAATACAGTATTAATCCTAAAACTCACCTTCGCTGGTTTTCCAAGGAATGTGCAGCTTTGATGAGGTTGTCGCTTTTGATTTGCAACCAACTCCACCGTGCTCCCAGCGTATGCGAGTCAACCAGCCACCGACTTAATGCCCGACGTTCACTGAAATATTACCAGCGATAATCTCTGTTATCAAATTCATCACATCTCTACGATATCGAGCACACAGACTTTGTTTCGAAGGCTACTCGGGATAAAGCAAGAAACTGTTCGTCTTATGTCGGCGTGATTACGGACATCTCCATGCTAATGCTCCCCATTTTATCGATACTGGTCACCATAGACAAAAAATACAATAGATGAAATGCTTTCGCTAGCCATCTGAAGTTCGGGGCTTCTCGCGTAAAAATATTACGCACGATTTATCAAGTACATATCATATTCAATCGAAGGAGTGATTTCATCTTTGTAGAACAATTCTTTGGAACAACAAATAAATAGCCCAGGATATGAAGCAGGATTATTCAGTATATAGGTGCTTTTCACGTGGACAGGAGACGTTCAACCATGCGGTTTGGTACAAAACATTTATCAAGAAAAACACCAAATAAAAGAGGAATTAAATAAGCATACGAATCAAAGGTTGATATAGGAGAATAAGGATCGATCGAGACACGTGCTTTAACTAACGACGGAGTACTGTAAATGGAAATTTGCTTGAATTGTACCTTCAGGAATACATTAAAATTAAACGGAGATCGAATGTCTTTCAAAACGTTGAGTAAGTGGAGAAAACGAAACTGCTCAAGTACCGCAGTTTTCGGGTTTACGACAGATTTTCCATCTTCTCGCTTGTCCGGACAGTTTTCGCCGATCCTGATTCATGGCTTTACTTCACTGATTTAAATGAACTCTTCAAATGGAATGACTAACCGTTGGTAGGGATTGAATACATTAAAAGGGATTATTGTCTAGACGCAACTTCAAATCATCGACAAGAACCCAGAGGTGTTATACGAATAGATGGCGATACATAGACTAAGATGCAGTCAGGTACTTGCACTTCGACGAAAAAGAAAACTAGTGAAAGCCCCTAACCCAACTGGGATCCAGGTGGAATTTCCAGTGGCTTTGACTAAAATCCTAGAACCTGAGTCATGTAAAATACGGTAATGCACGACAGAAATTTGATATTTCGATACAATTCGACTAATCACACATCAATAACTCACTTATGACGGCCACCAGAACCGCAAAAAAACAATGGTACTTTTGGAGCAGCCCCAACAAGGAGAACCAGTTGTACAGTGAACAAATTTCAAAAATTACATTGCACCCATTCATGAGAATATCACGTCAAGAGGTCGAAAATTGAAAAATTACCCGCATTTACTCAAGTACCAAGCGCATATTTTTTTTCTCTGACAGGGAAAAAGGGGCGCGCGTCATGGATAGGGTATACATCTGTCAAAAAGTGTTCGAAGCGTAGGTGCATATTATACAGTACTTGATTCTAAGGGCAAATGTTGAACCAGTTTCACCAGAAAGGCTCATTTTAATGAGTACAATTGAAAATTAGCCCAATATAGGTTCAATTCATGCCTGAATTGAAATTTGGGCGTTCTTATCTTTGAAAGAGAGAGAGACTAAAAAGGGGGGGGGGGCGCGTCAAACTCGGTGATGAAATTCTAAAATAAATGTTGTAATGGAAAACACTGATGCGTGTCTTACTTAAGTATTAGTCTAATTTTCTCATGACCCGTCTAAAGTTCCTCACAAACAATAAATTTATAATTTTACGAACCTCCTCAACTCGAAGGCTTTCCCCGTCAAACCTACATAGGTCGAATTTATGGAGTCTTTTCGGCTATCGTTTATTGACACAGTAAAGAGAGAAGCAATAACATTTCAATTTGATGCGTTTTGAAGAGAAGCGAAAGACTAATTGGGCTTATCAAACCCTTGCCTCCAATTTTCAGAAGAAATTTAAAGCCTAGAATAACACCGATAACAATATCCTGTAATTCTTCACTCATTCCCAGCAAAATATAGCGGTTTCTCGAAATAATTTTTTTTTGGTCCCTTCAATTTTGCCCTAAGGAGGCTAAAATGTACTGTACTAGACAAATCTACCTTCAAAACATCTACTGTACTACATTCAGCCTTTAAAAACCAAAAGATCATTCCTTGCCGACAGCCGGACCGAACTAAAATCCTCACTTTGCTTTACTCTATCAAAGCCCCCCTCCCCACGTCATCATTTGGCTACACAACGCTGTACTGTACTGACATGGATGGTACTGTGGCGCCGATTCGATCTTGCCGCGGGGCGCGGACCCGAGAGCCCATCCCCTCATGCTCATCGCACGACTCGCCACCCGAAGAACTCTCGGTGGCTTCACCATAGTCGTCACCATCATCCACCACTTCCTCGTCCATATCATCACCACCATCCACTCGCTTCCAATGATCGTGTCGCGACAACAGTTGACCCAGACGCCCAAAAAGCGAGCTCATCTCGCCCGACTCTTCCGACGTCAGCAACCGCGGTTTCTTCTGGCTCTTATTCTTCTTCTTCGTGGTGGCATCAAGACCCTCGTCGTCGACGACGTCGTCGTCGTCTTCGTCACCATCAGCATCATGACGAGTGGGACAGACCATAATGTCCAACGAGGCGCCGGGCAACTTGCGCTTCACGCCCAGACGCTCGTTGAACGTCGTGACAGACTGTAAGCGGTTGAGGTAGCGCTTGGCCGTCTGGCGGATCTCGAACCGCTCCTCCAGCTCCCTTAGCGTGGCCCCTGTCCGCAACGCGTCCTCGCTCGCTTCACCCACTGTCACCTCTTCCGGTCGCTTCTTCTTGGCCACAACGACGCACTTGGCCAGACGCAACGCGTTGGCGTAAATGAGCGAGATCGTGATGCACCGCGCCCGTCGGAGAGACCGACTTCGAGACCGATGCGCCTCAACCTGCCGCGCCTTCGCCTTCTCCGTCAACTGCATGATGATGGCGGCCGTGTCTTGCGGCGCAGCCGCCGCCGACATGAGCGACGACGGTGGAGGCGGGTGAGGCGGCAGGGTAAACTCCACGAGTCCGCGTGGACAGTGTGCCACCGACAGCTGCGACGAGGGAGAGTCGGGCAGATGACAATCCAAATCCAGGTCGCAGGTTTGATCGCCAACGACCGCTGCTGCCGCCGCCGTTGCCGCCACGACGACTTTCTTGGCGGCCAGGTCGAGGATGAAGCGGCGGGTGGCGTCGTGGTCCGTGGCGGGCGGCGACAGCGGCGGGCTCAAAGGCGACAGGCAATGACGCGGCGGCGTGTCGCCCGTGGCCGGCGCGGCAAAGCAGGGATCCAGCGTGCCGGGCCGGGCCTGCTGCAGCTTGTCGCCCAGGGACGCCACGGGAGGCGACGGAGGCGGAGACGCCGCCACCGGGCTGCTGGGCACTTTGCGTTGCAAATGCTGCTTGACGGGCTCGCGGGAGCCGATGTCGGGTTTGCGACGAACGCTACAAGCCTCCGACAATGCCGGGGCCATCGTGAGTCATGGGCATAGCCAACAACCCGTCGCCACCCACGCTCACTGTCGCGACTTTCACGGGGGGTTTTCACACGGTACACACCAACAGCGGCTTTCCACACATGCACTGAAGATGACACACTAACACACTGATCTCTGCCGATTCTGCTCCAACACCAGTTCCTTGCACCTTCAAATAAGCAGGCGAACATTCATAACACTCGCCTTCATCCAAGTTAGAAATCCACGCACCGCCTTCCGCGCGAAACGGGAAAGCGCGCGCTTCCCGTTCTTACGTCACTTACTCACCGGTCAGCACTTTCTGTCAACTTTCTGAAAACAAACATGTTTAGCTGTGCAATGATTAGCATAGGTCAGAAACCCAACTGCAATGCCGCATCACATACCACGTATGATGCCCAAGTTCCGACACACATTTTGATGTGACATCTACGGCGGCTTCGTCCATGAAAAACAATATACTGTATACACTATACAAAAGAGACGGACTAGTACCGTACATACTGTGTACGAAGTAAGGCCGTAAATACTCTTCGACAACAGCTTTTTCTCACCCCCGCGGCAAAACAAACCAACTCACATTCTCTCATAAACGCGACGCAGCTTAGAAGTGTCTGTCTTGTGCATAGCTTCCGTGAAGTTTTCCCGAATGAAAATGATTCATAGGAAGATACATTACACATTTGATGATTTCCCAATTGTTGTTCCGCTTCTACCCAGTTGAAATGGAGAAAAAAGGAACATTAAATGTTCTTCGCATCATGGGGGGAAAGTAGGGCGTACCGGCCTCAATCGGACGTTTCATAAATTTGTGAACAGTCGAACGGCCATCAAATAATCAATATACAGGAATGTACTTCGAAAATATCAACGGTTTATACAGTGTAATGTTTTGATAAGAAATTAAATTTCGTGATATCTGAAGATTTTTATTTCCCTGACTGCCAATGTTGCCAGCCGGCACAGCAGTTCGGTCAATCCTTGAGCATACAAGCTACAGTCAACAATAATACCTGCTATGAAAGACAGTCTTCAGTAACCGAACGAAGAGTTAATAGGCACATCTGAATTGAGACTCATCAAGTTGCGTACTTCGTAAATTTGATGGCAGCAAAAAGCGAATGAAAACATCCCCAACCATGACATAGAACCCCGCTGATAAAAATCTGGAAGGACTGCTTCGAATTTCCGTCAGTATTTTTCGAATAAACCCCTGCAACCCAATTGGATGAATTTTGGGCCATAAATCACTGCATTTACTCGTGCAGCACGCATCCCGAAGTTCAGACAGCAATTTTTCCGAGGTGACTTTCGGCAATTGACATTTCCATCAAGGCTGGTGTCTTTCACCTGCATTCATGTCAGACGCTTACACAATTTATCCGAATCCAGTTATGGCGCAAAACAATGGGAGAGCACGTAAACCTAAAGAGAATGCAGCAATGAAAAATACAGAAGAATTCCGGGAGGTTACCGTTTAATCCGCACAGCACTCCAGGAAAATTAAATTTCATCTGTGGTGCAAAATCTTCGTCAGATATGATTCCCATTCGCCAGATGCAATTCGTAAGCCCTTTCCTATCTCCGTACGTTCCATTCAACATCACAGCGTACTTCCGTATACTTTTCAGTATGTCGTCTATGTACTCATGTGAAATGCGGCGCATACGATTCTTTCCTGACGAATAACCCAGGCCAATAATAATTGAACTTGAGCGCCCATTAAAAATACTTCACTAAAAACATCGCCGATTCTCAACGGATGAACAGGGTACTTCCTCAAAACTCAACTTTATCCCCCTTCTTCGAATTTACATGAAAATTTCGATGATGCCTCTTCCGACAAGGTACCGTACTTCCAAAAAACCGTCATAAATCTAGAGGTTTCGGCGAACGTAGAAGAATTTCGTACCGATGAATAAAAATCGAAATCAAATCTAGAATACGAATACACAGGTATCCGTGCAACAGCGGCGGTTTTCGGTGGGGGAACCGTGTATACTCGCGCTCATGTTTCCCAGCTCCCCTCTCGCACTCCCTCGTGGGTTACGACGCTAGCCCGCGTTTGCTGAGAGGGAGAAGGATGGAGCGCGGGAAGCCGAAGTTCCAACTTGGAACTAACCAATCCCGTGGTGCGTCACGTGGGGTCGATGTAACGCGACGCCATTTTGTTCCTCGCCCTGAGCAGCGCAACCACTTCCTGCTACTGGCGGCAGGAAACTCTGTTTGCTGCAAGCATGAATGTGGCTCAGTTCCTTGGTATGCCAAAGAAGGCACGTCCCTCGAATTGGACAGGATAATTTATCTAGCATTTTTTTCACCATAAGCGGCCATGTATTTTTACGACTACGGAATTCAATTGGTAAGTATCGATGCGAATAGTTCTGAGCATTCATCATACACGTAGAACGAAACAGTTCCTTCTTTTCATCGACATACGCGCATTTTTAATTAATTGTCAAGTAACCTAATTATGATGTGAACATGGGGTTGTGAGCTAAGGGTCATGCACGAGATACAGCACCTCAATGAAATTATGATACAGGGACTTCGAGGAACACACGCGTGAAAGTTATATTGTAATACAGACTTCGTACTGTACTGAGCTGGTAGACACCGTGATGCCCATTCGTGTGAGTTGGCATCTGGCGCGCACGAAGACTCGATATGACGAGATTCGGTAAGGGAGTGCGCGCGCCCCAGTCCTCCCATCGCCCCGGCTAGCTGTGGGAGGGTAGGTTGGCGCGAAGCCGTCCCTCTACAGGGACCCCGCGAGAGCGCACTTCGCATCGTTCCGCACACAGATGCCAGCACCGTCAACACACACGCACACTATTCTGAACCGCCGCGTTTGCAACCAACCGATGGCATCGCAACTTCGGGAATGAGCAGGTCGGGGAGCGAGCAAACGACCAGGGCTACGAGAGAATCCCCCGCGCGAACTGCCTGTCCTTCTCTCAACGGCTCTCTCGACGTTCGACACATGGCGCCGTCCGTTGGGCTGGCTCATATCGAATCTCGCTTCTCGAGGAGTAACAACGCGATGTTGTGTGCACGCGATTTCAACGGAAGTGTTTCCCCGACTCGGAACGTCATGAACACATTCATCTCTCGGGCGACGTGACGAAGAAGAGTTTTGTGAAATAAATTCTGTAAGCTTGCATCATCAGAATTCCTTTGTTTTGTTTAGACACATTGATTCACAGACACGGTTCACATCATAAGAAATACTGTGACGAATGACAAAAGACAAAACAAAAGCTTCGAAAAGACACCAAGGGTAACTGAAGAATAATGAATCAAGAACTTGGATCAAATAATTTTTTTAATTTCAAAATAATTTGAGAGCCGCAATGCGTTTTACAAATGTAAAACACTTTATCGTCGAACTTCATTTATTTAATATCGAAATATTGTACAGTACTATGTACTTGGGATGCCAAGTCCTATAAATAATGTATGTGCGAAAAATCAATGTACCGGTATTCCGTAACTTTCAAATTCTTGTAATGACTTAAGAATTCAAGCTATGGACTGTCTTAAATCAACGATGTGTTCTGTTTCACTGTACAATAAAATACACTTTCGCGAGATAAGCGGGCGTTGTTTCGAGAAGTTTTGATTTTTACTTGCCTTGGTGCAGCCAGTTACAGGAAATACGCTATTTCCTGTAGACTGAAGGGCTCATGGCAAAATAGCTAACAATCACTGGAGGAAGTCTGGAGCGGCGTTCCAAACGTCTACCCACTGGTCATCGGGCAAATTTGCAATTACAGAATACAGTAATTTATTTACTGACCGACTCACATTTTTTTGCAGAACATTTTACCCTTAATCTGAGCAGGAGGCTGTGATATATTTCTAGTCACACAAGATGGTAAAAAAAAAACTTCCAAGATTCACATACAAGTGTTTGTTACTCAAATAAGAAAAAGATGGACATCTTCAGCAGTGACTTCTTCAGGCATTGTTACAGGAATGTGATTTAATTCTTTACCCTGCAAAAAACGTGATAGAAATCGCATTAGCATGTCGACTTCAAGTGGTGTCAGTTTAATCTTGAGGCTCATCTGAATCAATTTACATTGCATCAATCTAGCGATCCAAGATTTCCACCAAGCACTGTTTTTGACACCCCTGCAAATATATTTCCTGTCAGCCCTTCAGTGATATATCATTTTATGAGTGTGAAAAAAGGTTTTCATACAGATGAGCAAGGAATTTATTTATTTTTGAATAAAATGAGAATTTTCTATTGTGCGTGCATTAATTAGCTGATTTCCTCATTCGAAAAGGAGCAGAAGTGAGTGGAACATATTTTTCTTCTTATATTATACGAGTCTCGATTATCATCCTCCAAATAGAAACCAAATTTTTCATCACAAGCACTGCAGTGATCACATTCTGCCCTTAATTTGCAAGTATGCATTGAATCCATTGCTTGTCTGTGGGGAAAAAACAAATGAAAAATGTCAAAAGTCAGGATACCTTGGAGGGATACAAAACAGACCGGCGAACAAATTCCGCACTCCAGGAATTGCCGAAAACGGGTCCAGACTTCAGAGCAAACCATCACGTCTCTTGACTCCGAATCTAATCGTTAAGGGGTTTTGTCAGAAGATCAATTAGTTTCTCAAATAACAAATAAACAGAGTATTGCACATTAAAGGATGCTCCATTTGTATAGCACCACTTACCAAAAATTTGACTTTAAAAATATTGGGATATTGTATCAATAACAATTGAGCAATGAAATTCACAGCCAAACGCACACCATAGTTGTTGCACAACGAAGTTAAGATCGACACTTGCGAAAAGCCATCTCGAAGCAAAAAACTATACACATTTTCTGGACACCATGAGATCTACACAACGGATCAAAATGCAAATCATCTGCAAAGCTTCAGACACTACTGATGGACAAAGGTAATCCAATGACGGAATCCTTCAAACACGTCCATGCGTTTGAACCCGCGAGAGAAACTCCGAGATTCGAACAATGGGAATCTGTGGCTGCAGATTTCTGCTCGATGGCTCCACGAGTGACATAATCTGTAATTAAATGGAGGTATTTAAATTTGCACGACAGCAAGTGTGCTTCTTCACTTACATCCATACGTTGTTCCCGCAACGCGAGTCATGCAATCGTTTTTTGTTTTGTCCAAGCAAGCGGATGAAACAAATCCTTCAATTTGCTGGAAAAAATGATAATTACAATCTGTGCAGCTGAAGAAGAATTTTTCGAAAGAAGATCATAGAATACTCACACTTTCTCACGCAACTACAAGAAGCGTAAGGACACCCGAATTCAGAAGAGTGACGGATTAGACGATGGATAAGCTATTTCTTTCTGTACTGCGCACTTCGATTTATTTCCAATCACGACACAAAAAACCCCTGACTTTCCTTGAATGCTAATAAGGAAACGCATGGAACATCTCATGAAATCTCCGGAGAAAAATTCGTCAGAAGAGAAAATTTCTTCACTTCTTTCGGCTGGGGTACAGCATTTGACCCACTGCATCCGTACAGGGCGCCGCCATGTTTTACCGCTGCCTCCATCTATCTGTAAGCACGAAAGCACTTACTTCAATACCCTAGCTCCCCTTACAATACTGTGCAGTACCGTAATTCCTTCCTATGACTTCACTTGTTTCAATCTTGCGAACATTTACTGATCTATAGCATATAACAAGAAACCTAACCCAAATAAGTAACCCTGACTGTAACACTCGACTGCAGTAAATTCTAGACCAATGCTGCACCCACAGAAATTAAGGAAACCAAGAGAAAATATGAATTGTTTCAAAGATAAAGGCTTTGGTGGATGGTGATTGACAGGACAGCAAGAGACTGCTCCTTGGAATTAAATGTGCAGAGAAACAAAAAGTTCCCACATTTGTTGTATTTGTTGATTTTGGCTTAATAACTGAACATATAGGGATAGGCGGTAAAATACTCAAAAACAATTTGTAGTTTTTATTATACAACCAAAATACGAGGATCCTTCATTCAAGCTCGGGCAAACAGTACAACAATCATTCCCATGAACCCGCATGACAAGTTAAAATAACGGACATGAGGAATTTACTCGCACTGCAGTTTCCAACAACGTTCACAGCATTCAAAACTTTCCTCTTTGAATCAAAAAACGAGTCGTGTCAAATATTTAGAGTAAATATCCACAAGCATAACACCGGTTTTATACCTTTTGCAATTTACTTAAGGCAAAATATCAAATGGTTGCTTCATATTGATGGTCCCATCATGCTCTAAAATGAATCTAGTAGACCCGAAAGCTTCAGTTTTCTTAGTTTCAGCCACTTGTGAATCCCCTCTTCGTAGTTTGAAATCCACTGAATATTTCCTTCAATTGCGTCCAGCGTTTGATCCGTTGCTCGTTTCGCAGATCCCAAGTCATTGTGACACGTTTTCTGGAACTCTTGAAACTGTTAAAGTTGGAAGCAATTAGGAAATATTTTTATCACAATTATAAATAATACACAGTGAACTGACCATGATATATTGACTTTCTAGATTGAAGTACTTCTGGAAGTCTTTTATCAGACCCATCGAGAAAGGACCGGATCCATACCTGAAAAAAGAAATATTATGTTCATTGATACAGTATTTTTTTCAATTGGGGCTTCATTGGTTGGTGCAAATTTATTTGACTTACACGGCTTTTACAGACCTCACAGATTATTATCTTGTGCTACTGCTGCAACAAAGGTTTAATCATTTTTCAAGTTATTTAATTTAAATAATTGTCCCTGAACTCCTCATTTGTATGACCAAAAGAGCAGTGTTAATTGACTGGCATTAAAATAATTGTATATTTGGAAATGTCCTCCGATAATCAGCTGCATGACTGAGGCACTGCAGTATATAGTTGACCTTGTCAAGGTTGAACCTCCTCAAGTCAAAAACGTCCCTAATTTGGATTTCCAGTTAAGCCTTTGCTGATTTCTTAAAAATCCAAATCAATTTATCTATCCTAAGCAATTTATTTCTCCTCAAGTCGAAACGTTTTAGGTAAAACATTGTTTCATTATATATACAATTTTGAGGTGTTCCTGTTATTGAACTGAGGCTGAATTTTGGAACACCTCTTTCAAAATATAATACAAAGACAATACAAATAATTTTCTTTTACGTTCTCCACAAGGGCAACTTACTGCGTGTAGGACATCTATAGATAATGAGCAGTTCTCAATATTTGTCCAAGAACAAATTTGCATTGATTGACTCACGGTACCCAAATCAAGACAAATTTATATTTTTCAAAGTAAACACACCAAGACTCTCAAATGCTTGCGATTCGTAAAAATCATGAAATAAAATTCAGGATACATTATTACATTGCCGTAAATTTGTTAGAAACATAGTTGATCATCAGTAATGACTCTAAAGCGAATTTAATATTGAGCAATGGTATAATAAAGTTCTTATCAATAATTATACTTGATGTGACAGATGATCCAATAGAAATTAGGGACCGAAGTATTCGGTATTCTCCAGTTTTGTTCTTGCTTATGCTGGGAATTTAAATATAAATGTGGGCAGAAGGTTTTGGTGATCAATTAAAGGTGGACTCTACAAAGGACCTCAAGGGACTAGAAACAAATTTGTTGTAGCGAACTTCGATAACACGGGAAAGAGAACCTTATGGAACCACACGCCGAAAAAATCGTTCTACAGAAAAAATCGTTGCAGAGAGAGTTCGTATCATGTATAACCTAAATTTTTTTTTAACCCTCTAAGCAACAAGTGCTGAAAGACGACGGAAAATATGCAGGTGCTACGCCTTCTCAGAAAATATCCGACCAAGTTACACGCGGTCATACGCGAGCATAACTTTTCCAATTTATTGGTTGACGAGAAAAAATGCGTCTATATTCGCAGTGAAGCATGATACAGTCATTCTATGGCTGTATCATTGTCGGAACATTATCACAAGCTATTGTTCTCTCACTTACTGTTCTTTGATCTTCTTGAAGTTGTTGCGCAGGAAATGGAAGGCCATGTCGGCTCCCAACTCATTCCGAGCCACGGCTGAGAAGGCCGTTCCAGCATCTTGCTTCCTGATGCCCGTCTCATGCTTGAGCGAGTGATCCAGTAGCCTTTTTTTGTTTCAGTTGTTGTTGAGATCATTCAGCGACGAAGCGGAAAATTACACATGACGTTCCGGGATTTGCACATGTATAAAAATCTGCTGAAAATACCTTCGAAGAAGCCAGAGGTTCCTGGTGCATCCCAGTGCTCTCAGGATCATGCTTTGCTCGGAAGCTACGTTGCTGCGCAAAAAGTGCTGGAAGGCGAAATCCCACTCCTTTTCGCCACCCATCTCGATGCCGGTGCAATACACGATCGTCTTCACGTTCGGACTTATCCTGGAAGCAGTAACGAGATATTTAATCCCGATTTTATCCCATTTTTCTATTTAGAAAAAACCGCGACTGAAATCAAAAAGAAAAGCTCTATACAAGAGAGTCATGATCTCCGCCGAGACTTTAGCACGCAAAAAAAAATGCATCACGTCGAGTTTTTCATGAATTTTTACAAATGTGATCCGTTTTCCACATTTCTTTGACATATTCTTTAAAAATACGAACATATTCCTCAGAATTCTTGATCCAAGAAGAAAATTCAATGGCAATTTTTGCGCTTGCACGAACTTCATGATTGTTGATGAAAATGGCGGAATTACCTTGGAAGACCTGGAGGCAACCTTTCGAATTAATACCACATTTATTTCAAGAATTCTGAGGGGAAAGCTGGGCTACAAAAACAAAATCTGCAGGAAGGGCGCCTCATCTTTTGAGTGGAGAGCAAATATCTGCCAGGGTGAAATTTGCAAAACATTCAAAAAAATTTGTCAAACAAGGCTTATTTTTTTCTTGTGCCAAAGAATATGTTTTCTCTAAAGAATAATTTTTTTCCAGCTCAATCATATGCCCTTTTCATTTCTATTCTGAGAACTTTTGTCAGAACCCTCGTACGAAATCTTCAACATTTCCTGTGGAGTGCATACAATTCAAAAATAAATATAATGATTTTTCGAATGAAGCCAAGAAACAGAGTTGACAGAAACCTCGCAGGAATTTCGAAACGAACAATTTTGAAATCACGTAAGGTACGCGAATAAAAGGTCATTATTATTAGTGCTGGAAAAATGAGGTTTACGGGTTTTAAAAAAAATGCTAACCAAGAATGTGATGGACAGGAAATGATCTAGACATTACCCCTTTGAAATGATCCCCCATTTCAAAAGTGCTCAACTTCAGCTTGAAATACAGCCCGGAAACAAATTTCAGATCAAATTGCTGCTCTCTGACGAAAGTGAGATACATTACAGCATTTGATCACTCGCCTCGGAATGTCGGGATTGTTCACGTTGTAATCGAGCATCCATCGCTGGAAAAGCTGGGTTGCATTTTGTAAGCACGACGGAATTTCTAGTTTGCAAGCCCATCTGAGGATGTCGATGGAAAGGTATGTGTCCGTGATGTTCTCGTAATCCGTCTCCACTTCTTCTACTGTTTCGAACCTGGTCTTCTTCACAATCGGGGTCAGTAAGCTGATCATGTACTCCTGAAATTACAATAACACGTTTGAGTCACAAGCTTTACTTAATGAAATTATTTAAATTTTATTAGCCAGTGTAAGCGACCAAGATCTACTCAAATTGAGAAGAATATTTTGCGTAGAAAAAAATGAAATCGCTGGCCTTCATCGTCGGCAGTTCTTTCATCAAAGCTGGATAATTTCAAGAATAAAGTGATCACATCGTCGAAAAATTCGGGATTACTGTAATTTGAGTGTTTGACAGTACGTTTGATATTGTTTTTCGATCAAGTTATGTGAATTATGTCTGTGTTAAGTCATGTTAGTTACGCTGGCTTGAGTCACGTACTAGTAGGGTATTTTTGTCTTAGATTTGCCATGCTGAATAATTTATGAAATACCAGTAAATAAGCGCCATCCGAAAAGAGACCTAAAAAATAATTCGTTGCACAGAAAATATCGTTGCATAGATCATAGAGTCCACTCGTATTAAGTACAGCTTGTTAGGCTCTGATTGTATTTTCATTCTTATTGGAGTGACATCTATAATAGTTGAGTGCAGTAAAGGACTGTACGCATGAATTTCTTTGCAAGGACAGCCCGTCGAAGTGAGGTTCGATTTCTCTCTTACGAAAATGTATATTTTCTAAATTGTTTCTTCCTCTCTGGAATGACTGCTGAAAAAAAATTTGATGGGTGAAAACGGTCATTTTCATCTACTCGAATTGGCTTGACTTCAAGTTCTTTTTAAATCGGATACTGTGCTAAAGCATATAGACGCAGAGTATAGACTTTCCAATGCTGCTGATTTACCCCCGGCATTCAGAGAAATAAATTTCAAAATCAAACCTTAAATTGCCCGTACAAGGACGTGTGGACGAGCATATCACGCAAATACGCCAAATTTCTCAAAGCGGCAGCCCAAGGCACATATTCGGTTTCCTTGACGAGATAACTCGTCAAATTCAGCGGGATTTCGTAAGGGATAATCCCGGCTCTGGCGAGATTGAAAGCATCGTCGAGGATCTGCGCTCGATTCGCCGCATCTGGAAATTTCGCCAAGAAAAACGAAATCAATGCATTTCACCCGGCGATTTTTATTTCATCATGTACTATAGGTATGTGGTTAGATGAAAGCTCGGCGGTCGCATTTCTTTCTGCGGTCGAAATTTTCCGAGGCCAAAAATTACTTAAGTCGTGCATTACAGTATCTATTTCAGTGAGCGAGCAGATTTTAAAAATTGAAATAACGCGTTATGAGGACGAAAAAGGGTTGAACCTCGATAACTTCCATAACTCGAATTTTCTGAGGTATTTTTGGTCATCATTTTATTGACACAGGAAAGAGAAAACCCATAAAATATAGCCTGATGCTGTTTTAAAAGGAAGTGGAAGATTAATTAGACAAATAAAACCTTGCTTTCAACTTCAGCATCCATCCTGTCAACTCATTCATAAATCAATTTAAGGCATATAAAATCGCCAATTAAAATTTCCTGGATTATTTTTTTCTCAACAAAAATTGTCGGTTCCATTGCTAGAAATCTCCCTGACTCTATTTGTTTGCTGGTCCATTGAAGTTCGACTCACGAGGTTCGACAGTTTCATTTATTTATTTATCTTATTTCCCCTGAGCGACTTTCTAAATTGCCTTGTATTACAGTAATTACATGCTTAATTCAGAGTGGGGAAAACGGATGCAAATGTTCCTACTACTGCATCTTTTGAATGGTTCATGAATTTGGGTTGAAGCATTCTTCAAATTTAACGCAATTATATCAATTTTAAAATTACATTCAATTATGAAATTGTAATTGATTTGACATTCCCAGAACGTCTATTAAGAATTAAAAGAAAAAATTCTTGGTGAAAGTTCATGCTACTGTATATTGTTTGTATGAGTTGAGGGTCTGAAAGAATAGGCTGTCTTCGTTATGCACGACTTTGCATGGTTCACGAGCTGTCAACCCGACAAAAAAAAAGTTTCCCACTGGTTTCAAACATATCTCAGGGTCCTCAAATCAATTTTTATAAAATTTTCTCCACGACGTTAAGAAAGAGGACGATTATTAGAGCTTTCATTACTGCTCTGACCTCGGCGACCGTCGAGTGGGGAAAAGTTAAAAAATAAATACAGTTATTAGAGAAAGTCAAGTACCGATCATGGCGTGATCGTGAACTAATTGTTCGTTGATTCTGCGCCAATTTTCCGCGTCGTAGTTGACTCTGTAGTACCCGGTTTGGCGGACGTTGAAGAGGACCCAGTCGCCGCGGGGAACTTCGTCAAATGCGAGGGCAACAGATTTTCTGGACTCGTTGACGCTCATCCAGAATTTGGGCATCGTGTTCGCCAAACTGAAATTGGCACGGGTTCGCTGGGTGTAGCTAATGGGCACGTGCCACAAATAGCCGAACTTGCCCGTGGAGGCAGACTTGTTGGCCTGCGCCGGGTTCAGCAAAAATCTCTCCTATATTCGGAAAGGCGAAAACATGACGGGAACAAAAATCAGCGTTTTATCGACTCTCAATTTTTTTTTATCAATGCTTGAAACCACTTACTTTCTCCAAGATCGTTTATTAGATTTGAAAAGAATTTCCTCTCCTTCTTTTCGAAGCTACGTTGCATTCATCGCATTAACGATTTGAAACTGCTGCGTGATTCAAATCAATTTTTATGCTCAACGAATTTTCCAAAGAATAACGGTGTCTGAAAGCCGCAGCCAGAAAATTGTGGATATATTATAAATTTAAATTTCTAATCCCTGGTGTAAGAACAATCAAGAATACGGTACCACAAGTTTGGGAGAAAGCGTTGGAAATGACTTTTTAAAAATCCGAAAAGGCAGGAAAATAGAAATGAAGACGCCGAAGACCCGCTTTTAAGTTTTAGTCGTTTAACTGTACTGTGTACTGACAAATAACCAAGGATTGTAATAGAAACATATTTATCTAAAATTAAAACGGTTTTCTATCCAGAATGCGTTTCCATACCATCACAGAGTGTTACAAGAAATTCAATTTCAGATTTCCTTCGGTTTATCGGCCCCGGGGAAAAAAAGTGAAAAAGCAAGCCAGAACAAATTAAAGAAAGAGGGAGAAATTCCAGTTTCTCCGCCTGCGCGATAATCAACGTGTTTTGCCTTTTTTCTCTTATATTTATACTGACAAACCAAGGATTGTAATAGAACCAAATTTTATTTAAAAATTTAATTCGGCATCGGTCTAGAATTCGTGTCCATACCGTCACCGAGCATTACGCGAAATTTAATTTTATATTTCCTTCAGTTTTTCGGCTCCAAGAAGGAAAAAAAAAATCGAAAAAATAATCAAGAAAAAAATGAAAGAAAGAGAGAGAAATTCGAGATACTCCACCTGCGCGATGGTCAATGAGTTTTTATGTTTTTTTTATTTTAAATGTACTGACAAATGACAAGGGATTGTACAGTAATAGAAACATTTACAATATACCTATTTACTCAAGTACCATGCGCCCTCAAGTAAGGCACCCACAGGGCTTTTTCAGTTGGAAATTTTGGCTAAAATCGTATCCCCAAGTAAGAAACGCACCCCAATTTTTAGTGAATCTAAAGCCACAAAATTTTGAAAATAAAAACAAAAAATTTGACATTAGGCATGAATTGAACCAAAATCTGATCAATTTTCAACTTTTTCAGTACAAAAAAGGTTTTATTGGTACATTTGTTCAAAATTTCTCCATTAAAATTAAGTATAATGCACACATAACTTCCTCAAACTTCTTGAAAAATTTGTACCTACTTATGACACACACTCCTTTCTTTCTTTCTTCTGAAATTTGAGAAAAGAAGATGTGCTTGGTACTTGAGTAAATACAGTATATTTAAAAATTGCATTTGGTATTGGTCTAGAATTCGTGTCCCAGCGTTTCGCGAAATTCAATTTTCGATTTCCTTCAGCTTATCCGCTCCAATATCAGGAGAAAAAAAAATCGAAAAAATAATCAAGAAAAAAAGAAAGAAAGAAAGAAAGATATATTCGAGATTTTGCACCTGAGTGATGTTCAGCGAGTTGTTGTCATAGTTGCGAGTGACTGTGACCACGGGGAATCCCATTTGCAGGGTCCACGTATCCATGATGTCCTTAACCGACAGACTCCTTGGCAGGGAGCCAGCATCATGGGCAGCCTTGCTCATGTAGCCCCACAAGTCGTCCTGCTCCGCGTTCTTGAAAGCCATTTCCCGCAGATAGTTGGTCAATCCTCGTCTGAACGACTTGTTCCCCAGGAAATGGTCCATCATTCGGATAATCGCCGACCCTTTTTATTTTTTCGAACAGTAGACGCGCGCGCGGCGGATTTGAACCCATCAAATGACTTCTCCGCAGCATATAGCCCCCATTTGCATCTGCTTCTCTTATTCATTCATTCATTCATCTTTTTTTCCGTTTCACAATTTTACAGTTGAAAGCCTTTTCTCACACTTTCCCCTACGTGCATATATATATATATATATATATATATTTTTTTTTTTTAATCAGACGCGAGTTCGATTTCTTCGTCTGCTGGGCATATATTTTTTTCCGTCGCGCCTGATGTTTAAACTCGCGTCTATTTTAAACTCGCCGTATATAAACCTCTTGAGATCAAGATACGTGAGAAAGCATTTTTAAAAAGCGTGCCAGCAAGGAACTGAGTCCTTGATGCTTATTATTGACGCAGAAAATAAATTGAATCGCACAATCCTCTCGGGACTTGAAACAACTGAACGAAAACAAATCTCCAGGTATACTGCATGAGTTATTTGTGCGTGAATCTCATTACAGGTGGACTCTCTCCACAAAGAAACTCAAGGGGCCAGAAGTAAAAAAAATAATTGTAAAAAAAAACTCATCGTCATTGTAAAGAGAAATTCGTTGCAGAAAAATTCGTTATACTGAGAAAATCGTTGTACACAAGATTTTCTTTCTGGCGATTGATGATGTTTTAAGTTTAGGATCCGTAAATCAACGCTTATGATTCAGGATTTACAAAATTTTCTTTGATCCAGTAACGGAATGTCAGTTTTTAAAATGATCAACGATGAGTTATTCGCGCGTGAATCTCGTTACAGGTGGAGAATCTCCTCAAAGAATCTCAAGGGGACATAAAAAAATCGTTGTAAAGAGAATTTCGTTGCAAAGAGCCTCCATGAAACCCTGTAGGACCAAAACAAATTCGTTATACTGAGAGTCCACCTGTGTAACGAATTTTTGGTTACAGCGGATTTATTTTTCAGATCCCCGCTCAATAGCAAAAATGTCACTCAAATCGCTTTAAAATGAATGCATCGTTATAACGATGCTTTTTTCCCGGTCCCAGCAGCTTTGTTGTAATGATATTTCACTATAGTTTTCTACTATTTCAGTCGTCACACCGGGTTAATTAGACTTTTTTCCGTATAGCATCAGGTCACTTGAAATTAAATCATGCTTTATAATCTAAACTAGTTAAGGCTATATCAATAAATGAACGAGATGATAATCAGCGTCCGTTTTAATGATGAACCTATCAATCCCAACTGCAGATGACGAAGTCGCTACAAGTCATCTTGTTTCGGTCGAAGAATAAACCCTGATTCCATCTTCCTGAATTGCATTTTTATTTTATTAAAAACTGTGCTTCGTGTCACATCAAAAGGGAAATTAAATATCGCGATTTAATTTATTCCATAAAATCTCGGATCAACAAATTTAATCGCGCACTTTTCAGATACTGTATTATGTCCGTAATAGCGGTGCATAAATTTCGCCATTCCACGCTAAAGCGCCTTTGATTGTACGAGATGAAGTAATTTATTAGAGATATAAATTTTCAACCAAAAGAAGATTTATGCTTGCAGAAAAACGAAAATTTTCGCTTGAAGTACACTCGAACGATCAATTTGCTTTTACAGTTATTGCGTCGGCAGCGCCATTATGAATATTTTTATTAAATTGACTCCCATGGAAAACTAGTGTTTTTTGAAATTGCTGAAGTGATTCCAATGCAGCTTGAACTCTACCATCGGCTATTAAAAAAGCAAATCAGTACCATGTCAATAAATGCTTTTGTAGCACTTCACAGTAATAATCCAAAACAAGCAGGAACTATTGACGCTTAAAATCGATCCACATTTTGATTTACCCAATAAAAAGTATTCGACAAGGAGAAATTCATTCGTGATTTCTCCACAGACAAACAAAAATTGCCCACCGGTAAATTTTGAAAAAGAAACTCAGAAAACATTACTCAGAAATCCACTAAGTAATTTCGTGAATACCTCATCTCGTCCATGCTGTTCAGCAAACATTTGAATCAGTTCATTCAACTGGATTTTCTTCACACGAAAAGTCACTCAGTAAAAATAGTACTGTAATTCAAAACACTATGTAAAGCACAGTACAGTACCTTTGTAATAAGTAATCGAATCAAAGATCTCCTCGATGTCGTCGGGGTGAGTGACAGCGATTGAAATCGGATGCGACGTCGTGTAAGAGTCGGACATGAAGGAGCCCTGCAATGACGTGCAGACGAAGCTGTCGAATATCTTCCAACTGGGTCTCACCTAAAAATCACATGAACAATATGGCAATGGGTCAAATGAGCGCCAAGCCCAAATGAGCGCCACACAAGCGAGCGCCAGGGACATTTCACCGCCAGCGAACTAAGCATCATCTCAACGATCAGAAAGTTACACTTGATGGAAAAATAGTTTTTTTTCAATGCTTTCTATCACAAATCAATCATTCTAAAGTAATAAATTATATACAGGTACTTCAAAGCTTCAAATCTATCGTACATTACTGTAATTGGGTATATTTTAAAAACCTCTTTCTTTTTGGGGCAATAAAATATTTTAAAGTGTAATCAATTTCTTGCTTGCTGCCAATGGCGCAAAAAAATCAATCAGGAAACTTTTTGAGCTCAAATCTTAGTAACTTAGCAGTCTAATTTACAGAGATTGAAAGGAACCCTACTTTTCTTACATGGAAAGAAAATATATTCTGAAAGTTATTTACAGAGCTGCTCATTTAGAAGTTGCTCAGTTGAATGGTCACCAGTCTACAAATAAAAAAAAATCTGCAGAAGACAAGGAAAAGTGCTGATGGAAGACACACTTCTCAATTAATTATCCTTGCATATATATACAGTCAATTACAACAAATATCATTACAACAAATTTATCAGCATAAAAAACTTTTTTCAAGTCCTGGCAGAAATCCTAAAGGGTACATGTTATACAGTAAAAATCTCCTTACAACAAACTTGCCAATTCTAGTATAACAAACTTTTTCGAGGAAAATGTTTTTGATTTCTTGATGAAAAATTCCCAAGGAAGGCAGGCATGGTCTCACATGTTCCATTCAAGATATGACTGTGACTGGTTCTTTGAACAAAAGGTGGAATCAAGGACAAACATTCTTCAAAATTCACCTGAACATCTTCTCTTTCAAAAATTGTTCCTGCAGGTTAGGAAAGATGGCACGGGTGGGGGAGGGGGTGCAGTTAGATGAAAAAATGAACCCAGCAAATCTCATGTTAAAAGGGATTTGTACACTTGAGGAAACCCTAGTGATATGAACATTTTCAACAATTTTGGAACATCCACCCTAATAAACCTTTGCAGGAATTGCCTAGAAAAACTTAGAGTCAAGAACAAATGCTAGGGTTTACCTGATATTCAAATTAAATGTTTTTTTGTTAACATCTGAATTTTTTTTCAAGATCATAGTTTTTTAAAACACTATCGCGTCTATTTTAAACTCGCCGTATATAAACCTCTTGAGATCAAGATACGTGAGAAAGCATTTTTAAAAAGCGTGCCAGCAAGGAACTGAGTCCTTGATGCTTATTATTGACGCAGAAAATAAATTTAATCGCACAATCCTCTCGGGACTTGAAACAACTGAACGAAAACAAATCTCCAGGCATACTGGATGAGTTATTTGTGCGTGAATCTCATTACAGGTGGACTCTCTCCACAAAGAAACTCACAGGTCCAGAAATAAGAAAAAAAACATCATTGTAAAAAAAAACTCATTGTCATTGTAAAGAGAATTTCGTTGCAGAAAAATTCGTTAAGCTGAGAAAATCGTTGTACTCAAGATTTTCTTTCCGGCGATTAATGATGTTTTAAGTGTAGCATGCGTAAATCCACGCTTGATTCAGGATTGACAAAAATGTCTTTGATCCAGCAACGGAATGTCAGTTTTTAAAATGATCAACGATGAGTTATTTGCGTGTGAATCGCATTATACGTGGACTCTCTCCTCAAAGAATCTCAAAAGGACATAAAATTCGTTGTAAAGAGAATTTCGTTGCAAAGAGCCTCCATGAAATGAGGAGTTATTAACCCTGTAGGACCACAAAAAATTCGTTATACTGAGAGTCCACCTGTTTAACGAATTTTTGGTTACAGCGGATTTATTTTTCAGATTCCCACTCAATAGCAAAAATGTCACTCAAATCGCTTTAAAACGAATGCATCGTTATAACGATGCTTTTTTCCCGGTCCCAGAAGCTTTGTTGTAATGATATTTCACTATAGTTTTCTACTATTTCAGTCGTCACACCGGGTTAATTAGACTTTTTTCCTGATAGCATCAGGTCACTTGAAATTAAATCATGTTTTTTAATCTAAACTAGTTAAGGCTATATCAATAATTGAACGAGATGATAATCAGCGTCCGTTTTAATAATGAATCTATCAATCCCAACTGCAGATGACGAAGTCGCTATACAAGTCATCTTGTTTCGGTCGAAGAGTAAACCCTGATTCCATCTTCCTGAATTGCATTTTTATTTTATTAAAAACTGTGCTTCGTGTCACATCAAAAGGGAAATTAAATATCGCGATTTAATTTATTCCATAAAATCTCGGATCAACAAATTTAATCGCGCACTTTTCAGATACTGCATGTATTATATCCGTAATAGCGGTGCATAAATTTCGCCATTCCACGCTAAAGCGCCTTTGATTGTACGAGATGAAGTAATATATTAGGGATATAAATTTTCAAACAAAACACCTACTAGAAGATTTATGTTATCAGAAAAACGAAAATTCTCGCTTGAAGTACACTCGCATCTCTCTGGAATGATGATCAATTTGCTTTTACAGTTGCGTCGGCAGCGCCATAATGAACATTTTTCTTAAATTGACTCCTATATGGAAAACTAGTGTTTTTTTGAAATTGCTGAAGTGATTCCAATGCAGCATGAACTCTACCATCGGCTATTAAATAAGCAAATCAGTATCCTCTCAATAAAGTGCTTTTGTAGAACTTCACAGTAATAATCCAAACCAAGCAGGAAATATTGACGTTTAAAATCGGCCCACATTTTGATTTACCCAATAAAAAGTCCTCGACAAGGAGAAATTCATTCGTGATTTCTCCACAGACAAACAAAAATTGCTTACCGGTATATTTTGAAAAGAAACTCAGAAAACATTACTCAGAAATCCACTAAGTAATTTCGTGAATACCTCATCTCGTCTATGCTGTTCAGAAGACATTTGCATCAGTTAATTCAACTGGATTTTCTTCACACGAAAAGTCACTCAGTGAAAATTGTACTGTAATTCAAAACACTATGTAAAGCACAGTACAGTACCTTTGTAATAAGTAATCGAATCAAAGATCTCCTCGATGTCGTCGGGGTGAGTGACAGCGATTGAAATCGGATGCGACGTCGTGTAAGAGTCGGACATGAAGGAGCCTTGCAACGACGTGCAGACGAAGCTGTCGAATATCTTCCAACTGGGTCTCACCTAAAAGTCACATGTACAATATGGCGATGGGTCAAATGAGCGCCAAGGCCAAATGAGCGCCACTCAAGCGAGCGCCAGTGACATTTCACCGCCATGAGCGAACTAAGCATCGTCTCAACGATCAGAAAGTTACACTTGATTGAAAAATAGTTTTTTTTATCCTTTCTATCACAAATCAATCATTATAAAGTAATAGATTATATACAGGTACTTTGAAGCTTCAAATCAATCGTATGTGAAAGTAATTGGGTATATTTTATAAATGTCTTTCTTTTTTGGGGCAATAAAATGTTTTTAAATCTAATCAATTTCTTGCTTGCTGCCAATTGCGCAAAAAATTCAATCAGGGAACTTTTTGAGCTCAAATCTTAGTAATTTAGCAGTCTAATTTACAGAGATTGAAAGGAAACCTCCTTTTCTTACATGGAAAGAAAATATATTCTAAAAGTTATTTACAGAGCTGCTCAGTTAGAAGTTGCTCAGTTGAATGGTCACCAATCTAAAAATAAATAAAAAATCTGCAGAAGGCATGGAAAAGTGCTGATGGAAGACACACTTCTCAATTAATTAACCTTGCATATATATGTATATATATATATACAGTCAATTACAACAAATATCATTACAACAAATTTTTCAGTATAAAAAACGTTTTTCTTCAAGTCCCGGCAAAAATCCTATAGGGTACATGTTATAAAAATCTTATTACAACAAACTTGCCAATTCCAGTATAACAAACTTTTTTGAGGAAAATGTTTTGATTTCTTGATGAAAAATTCCCAAGGAAGGCAGGCATGGTCTCACATTTTCCATTCAAGATGTGACTGTGACTGGTTCTTTGAACATAAGGTGGAATCAAGGACAAAAATTCTTCAAAATTCAACCTCAACATCTTCTCTTTCAAAAATTGTTCCAGCAGGTTAGGAATGATGGCAGGGGAGGGGGAGGGGGAGGGGGCAGTTAGATGAAAAAATGAACCCAGCGAATCTCATGTTAAAAGGGGTTTGTACACTTGAGGAAACCCTAGTGATATGAACATTTTCAACAATTTTGGAACATCCACCCTAATACATCTTTGCAGGAATTGCCTAGAAAAACTTAGAGTCAAGAACAAATGCTAGGGTTTACCTGATATTCAAATTAAATGTTTTTTTGTTAACATCTGAATTTTTTTTCAAGATCATAGTTTTTTAAAACACTGAAAAACGTCTGAAAAAGCTACAAAAGTAGATGTTGAATATATGCAGGTCCAATTTGAAGAAAATCTTAAATAATTTTCAAGTCAGTCAATATTTTTTAAAATCTTGCAATAGCAAATTATTTGTCATAACAAACTTTTTCCAAAGTCCGCACAAGTTTGTTGTAACAAGATTCTACTGTATCAAATAGATGAAAAAGGAACATGGGATAATTGAATGCAATATTTTTTTTTTCTTACGTGGTGAACTCCGACGTATTCCAAGTAGGACGCAAATCCTTCATTCAACCACAAATCGGTCCACCACTTGGGGGTCACCAGGTTGCCGAACCATTGATGAGCGAGTTCGTGGGCCATCACCACTGCGACCGTTTGTTGAGCCCTTGCTGATGACACCTTGCTGTCATACAGCAACGCGGATTCTCTGTCCCAAAAAATAAAATGAAGAATAATGAGCAATACAATTTCAGCATCAAAAAACGCACTAACAGGAAATGACTCTATTTTCAAAATACAGCCGAGCTCCGATCAACCGGGTGACGAGCAATTGAGCATTCAAATAATTAAACTTGCTCGCATTTTGATTCTTCGAGAGGAAACAAGTTTAATTAATTCGCGATATGAAACCACCGGCGCTGGTTCATTCTTCTTTCTTTGAAACATTTTCTAGTTCTGAAGCACTGAGATTTTCGATAATGTCGATAACGTGATACAAGGTTACTTTTCGAATTGCGAAATTTAAGTTGTACAGTACTACTGGTAAATCATCCGGGAAATCATTGGTAATCGGACAAATAACCTTTTCTGTCAGCGGATTAGTCAGCGGAAGTTGTACTTGAACATCGTCGGTAGTGTTGAATTACAAAGTAATATTTTCAACTTGAATTTGAATAAAAAACCATTAATATTAGGTAATAAAAAATGACCCCAAGAAAACGTGCAAATGTATTCCATTCAGCAGCTTTCGTGGGCCTTACTCCCTTTGAATAGTTTTTGGCCATTCATTATCAATTGTTCTCCCTATAAATGACTTGGAAAATCGGGATTTTTCCCAAATACTGTTTCATCAATGGCATCTTATATGTATGTGAAAGCGTTTTATATTATTCAATAGCACTCTAAGCTTCATGGCGTGTTAATTTTAACAACGTCTTAGAATTTCTTTGAGAGATTGCGGGCATGCTTGCTTCGTTTCAACGTCGTCTAAATGAAAATTAATCGGGAATAAAAGAATCCTTGCAACTATTTCCAGTTCACGGGCTCAGGAATAAAAATATTTGGTAACTCAAGCAGAAGTAAAATCATCGGACCCCTCGGATTCCAAAGGGAATAAAGTTACAAACGTGCGTTTTACGGTCGCACGAATTTTTTTTATAATTTTCTTGAAAATAACAGACAAAATGTATCATAATCTTTATACTGTATTCTTATATTATATTTATATATCTTTATATAGCTTTATATTCAAGTAAAAACGGATAAAAATAGAATATAAATAAGTTGATTTCGAAAGTTTATACCTGTAAGTGATGAGACCCCAGTTTTCCATGGCAGAGGCGCTCATGTCCGGCAATGCCACCATGTCTTGCTTTGGCAATGGATAAGAAACGTTGAAGTATGTCTCAAAAAAGTAGAGGATTGGCAGGCCGATTGCTCTGGCGAATTCCGCCTGGTCCAAAGCATCACGTCTATGTAATATCAAGTCATTATAATATCTAAGAAATCAACACGTCAATTGTCACTAAGTAAAAGCACTGCGAATTGCCAATATTTTTTTTTCTTGCAGCCTGGACTGACATTATTCACAATATCCATGACTAGTTCAAACTTTTTCGAGATTAGAAAAGGCTTCCTTTTCAAATATGCTGCCTAGAACATTGCTACTAAATTATTTGTAATTTTTGGCTGAATTCAGAAAACCAGCATTTTTCTGCAAAATAAGCTTTATTTTAATCACAGTTTAAATGTTTAAAAAAACTCCCTGTATCCTATTATTTTTTGCTTGAGCGAGAATGTAATTTTATCCAAAAAAATGGCCAAATGATGACATTGATTTGTGGCATTTTTTTCAGCACAATTACTGCAAAAAATTGGAAATCGTGGGATTGGAGAAACTTGTGAACCAACCCTCGGATTTCCCACTTGCGACGTTGCACATTAAAATTCAATTAATTTACATGATCACACAATTATTGGCTGGATTGACATTCCTGTGTAATTTATAGGCGTACATAAAGTGATTCGAAATCGAAGCAATATATACACACCTGGCGAAAATACGAAGCATGATCTCGTTTCCCTCCTCTGTCCTCAACTTCGGCTTCGACACGTCATTGAAATCGACAGCAGTGCTCGACGTGACGGGCTGAGCCGACGTCGCCGGCAATTCACCTTTGAAAACGGCGTGTGCCTTCCGACCTTCGATGAAGGGCAAGTCGCTGACGAGGAACGCGACCAGGTAAGTCGACATTGGCACGGATTGCTCGAACTGGTCCCACATCCAACCTGGGTACCCTTCTCTGAACCATGAATAAATAATTTAGGGACTGAAAAATTAAAACCGCGCGAATTTTCGAAACTCGGCCCCGAAAAATGCCCGATATAGTGTTTTTATTAAATTGTCAAATATTAATCCTGGATTCCCTCCTCCAAAAAAATGAAATAATAATTGAATAACCATCAAGAAACGAAATTTTCAAAATGCGTAACCTCGATCTCATAAAAACCATCCTTTTTTCAACGATCCCGCGTTAATTATCTGTACTGTATTATGTCTAATAAATAGAATAATTGCATTGTACAGTAGTCAAGTGCCTGAAAAGAACCAAACATTTCTAAATATTGAAAGTCTGCACAGAAAATAATGACGCAAAATTCGATGAGTGCGTAGAAAATTGAGGGAAAAATCGAGTCACTTTCAGCTGTGATGCCTCATGCATTGTACAGTATACCATTTGGCACAGAGTAAGAAAATAATTAACTGTGCAGTACTGTGCAAAAAAAAAAACGAAACTGTAAGCTGATCATGATCGGCACTGTTTTCCTCGGCCATCAGACGTATTTTCGCAGTGAATTAATAGAAAGGATCAGAATTTTAATGTGTTTTTCCATCCTCAATTTCAGCATGTTCGATTGGCAACGCCTTCCAGCAGAACGTGGGAAAATTCCTGGCAGATATGCACTTCTAATCGCACCGACAAACCTTCCGCGTGAGACATTCTCCGGTCCAGTAACGAAATCGAATAGAAAATAATGCTTGCTCTCATGCTTATGCTATTTTTCACCATGCAAGATTTGCTATGTTTTTTTATCTGGAAAATTAATTTTTGTCATATTTATAGAAACTTTGAAACCTCGAAGGATGCGTAAGACATTCGCAGCTTTCTTAGAACAATAGTAACGAAATCGAATAGAATAAAAATGTTTGCTCTCATGCTTCTACCATTTTCTCTAATCGATAATTCTAATGTTTAATTAACTGAATTAATTTATCTCGCATTCAAGAAACTGTGCAAACTTGAAGGCTCGTCCAGAGAATGGTAAACAATTGTCGAATATACATTTTCAATTACAATAAGTCATCAAAAAATTCGGTCTAAGAAAAGAGGAAGTAATCCTACAAATAATTCGAATCTATTGGCAAATATTTAAATGAAATTTGTTAATGTTAACAAAAATGTGAAGCGAAGAATTAAAATTGACTTTCCAGACTTCTAGACAAACAAAAAACACGTTTATTGGAGCAATAACCTGAGTCCTAAAATAAATCGATCAGCAGTTTATTTCTACTTTGTTCGCGACTGACATCTTGAATATCGCATGTGAAAAGATTTGCGCAACGAAAAAATTTTCGATCCATTCAGTTAATTTTTACGCTGCAAGCCACCGGTCACCATTATTCTATAATTAATTTCATGTTTGTCTTCACCAATGGTGAGAACGATCCGGTCAACGAAGTTTACAAGGGCGTGTATATGTACTCCGATCATATTGTCAATTTTTTTCCAGATAATGGAATATCCTGGATAATGCCTTGCTAACAAGAATTACAGTGAGATCCCAAAATGCAGACATAATTGGTGCATCAAGAGTGTCCCCAAGTTGAGTCTCATTTTCCCTTAGGCTTACATTATATAATTTTTAATTGGTGTTTTCTGGACAAAATACTCACCATAATTCCATGAAAATAAAAATTTTCTCCCAATTTAAACTGATTCAATTAATATATTTCGACACAATATGAACACTTGGAGAATTGAATACTGATACCTCTTTATAAGTACATGGAAATGTTGGCATTCTCTGTAAAAATAAAATTCAAGTGAAAAAGAGAGAAGGAAGTCACTCTATGCTGGAGGAAATTTTCTTGAATAAGCTAAATGGATGGTAAATTGGTTGGTGAGAGAAATGCCCAAGAACTTTTCCTACATCAACTTTAGGGTTGGAAATATCTGTTTCTTGTAATTTGGCCTGAAACTCATTTGCAATTTTATCACAAAATGTCCCCATGTTGAGTCAGTGTCCTCATGTTGGGCCTTTTAAATTAATTTTTTATGCGAAAATAAGTGTCCCTATGCCGAATTGTCCGCATGTTGAGGTGTCTGCATGTGGAGGTCTCACTGTATATTTCTCAACACTCTCTAGAAGAAAAATCAAGACTGACCCAATATATTTCAGCATCACGGAAATGTGCATAAATCGCGGTGCATGAACCCGGATGATTAGTTGCTCAGAAGCGAAATACAGTACAGTACAGTGAAAATCTTCAAAATCGGGGCGTATGATTAGGGATATTATTTATTTATTTTCGCCAGTGAATTTAAATTCCGGCATGTCTAATAATAAATCCAATACTGTACTTCGAGTTGTACATTGAATCAGCAAATCCCATAAATCGCAGAAATAAAAACAACTTACACAGGGACAGTGGTTTTTACCGGCATGTTGGAAACTGCAACCATGCCCTCGCGTCGGGCCAACGAGATCAGGAAGCGGGCTTTGTAGGCGGGTTCGTCAAAGCAGGGAAACGCTCGTCGCGCTTCAGTCGCTTGGAACTGAGTCACTGCCAGCCATCTGCCGAAAAACAGCAACAGCAACAACGAAAAATTATATGCATGCACAGTACGGTAGATATATATCAGCAACGCATGGAAATCAAACGCAAACAGGAAACGAGGAATCGACAAAGCCGTTGAACCGTCTGATGAGAAATTTTTCAGCGAGATTTTCCCGGTGTGAATAATAACCTTATAGGTCACCGGAGAGGAACTGCTGCCCAGCAAAAACAGTGCAGTCGGAACACTCACCTCTGGATTTGCTGTGCTGATAATTTAATTGCTAAAAATCTGTTATCATTTCCCAACGATCAAAGCTTTCTTTCTTTACACAAGCCAAAATAATAATCAACGTAAACAAAAGACGCAAATATCAAAAACCCGTTTTCTTTTTTTTTATTTCTCTTCCATCAGGCTGCGCCAAAGTCTTTCCGGTTACAAAAATTAATCATTTCAGTTTTCATACTTTAATTTTTTTTAATATGCTATGCATTTCAGTTGAAGCTCATGTGAAGCATACTACTTTAAACTTTACATCATATTCACGGTAGTTGAATGCTTTTAGATTTATGACGAATAATCACGGTAATTGTGATGAACGAAGTGATCTCATGAAAAAAATGCAATTCTGGTGCAAAAAAGCACAAAATTTGCAGTGAAATATCAGCATGAAGTATATCCTCGATAACGCCAGGGATTTGCCAAGTGCTTCCACTCAGATAGTGTATACGTATTCATATACGAGGAAAAGTTGAAAATTATTAAGTCAGAAATTTCAAGATGTTACGCGAGGATGAAAATTACGCACATTTAATGGCAAAATTTCAAACAAAGATATAATTGATACCCTCATGAAATTTTATTTTGAAGTTGGCATCGTCTTATAAATATAGTAAATCTATATACAGTATGTAAACTTGAAAAATTACCCTTGAATTGGCTAGGGTTGTTAACATGATAATTGGTCATTTTAACATGGTGTCATTTTTAGGTTTGAAGGGAAGGGGAAGTTGATTATCGTGGAAACTTTGTCAAGAATAATTGTCATTTTAGGCTGGGCTTATTAACAGAATCGCGTGTGGGGAAAATTTTTGACCAAGGGGGGCTTTTGGCAGGAGGGCTTTTGACCTAGGGGGGCTTTTGGCAGGCGGGCTTTTGGTTGGGTACAGAATCTCTCACAAACAACGTTTGCCAACATCTATATTGACAAATAATCCTGAATAGCTCTCAGCTTGTGCTCTATAGAGTCTGAAGGGTTTTGCATGTACTGTATATCCTAGGTGTTACATAAGAATGAAATAAAAATGAGCGAAAATACTGTATGTAAAAGTGACATATAATCAGCAAGGAAAGATTCGGCCGTAACTCGAATTGAAAACTGCTAAATTGGGACTTCTATTGTTTCACCCAACATGGACAATAATTTTGTTGATCTGTTCTTAGAATCTGGCTTTACCGGAAAAGTATTGTATGCTGTGTATTTTTTTTCAATATAGCACTTTTTAAGCGTTCTTAGAACTTTTTTGCAAGTTTTTCTTCATAGTTTCTCCGATGAGTCCAGACGAGGATGCTTTAAAAAAGTATGTCTACTTCGCTTACCATGTTTATCTTTTTGAAGCAGAAGCTTGATCTGGAAACATATGAATAGCCTCTGACAAATTACATATGGTAATCACGAATTGTTGGACCCACAAAAATAATTTGTGGGCCCGCCTCTATAGAATTTGATGCAGTAGTTCCGAAAAATATAGGGATATCTTTAGAAAGCCACTCACATTTCACTGACTACATCGTTGCTTTTTGAGACAGAAAAATATAGCCATCTGGAAAAAAATGAAAAGTCTCTAAATAATTATTTGCATATTGCGATCACGCTGGTTGTATCAATTACGATTTGCAATTGCGTCGAATTTCTTAGTTACCATTGAAAAAAGTTTTTAGCCATCTAAAAAAGTCCCGAAATTGGAGTCTTTGGTAGGTACCCAACCAAAAGCCCCCCTAGGTCAAAAGCCCCCCCAGAAAGCCCCTCTGGGCCAAAAGCCCCCCTTTTATTAAATTGGATGCAAGTTTCATAACAGTGTTTGGTGGCCCTGAGAAGGGCCACTTGGATTCAATATTCCTCAAAATGACTGTTAGATAATCATCTTCAAAATTGCCTTCTGCTGCCTCTTCCTCAGTGTCACTGATGCTCTCAATGTCATTTTCTTCTCAATGTGTCCCTCTTATCTCATCTCCTTCTTCATTAGCACATTTCCAGCACCTAGTACTGGCATTTGTGTTCTTAACCATGAATAAATAGCCATTGTAGTATGCCTCCTTTTCACCACCCTTCTGATTTTTGATGATCTGAAGTGCACCAGCCATTGGATCAACAAGGTGAACTGTAGATTTGGCAGAAGTCAGCAAGTGATGATGCTTTGACTTTCAAAGAATCACTGATGACCACTGCAGGTGAGGAATCCTTTTATACACTCAACTTACAAACATATTGGTACTTGGCCTTGTGCTGGGCCTGCAAGTGGAAGGTGCAGCTCACCATAAAGAGTTACAAGAACACCCATAATCCCCAACTTTTGCTTGGTCCTAAAAATGGTTTCCTACTAGTTTATCCCAAATTATCTGACCCAAAAGGATTAAACCATCTGGTCCATCCCCAGGATTCTGGGAGGACATCCTTTTGCCCCTTTTGCACCAAGGAGGGATTTTGGCAGGGGTGAGGCTTTTGACCTAGGAGGGCTTTTGGTAGGGGGCTTTTGGACTACACCCCTTTGGGTATAACAGGGAGATTCCCAAAAATCAAGGTAGCATATTATTTTTGCGTGTTCAATAAATACATTGTTTGTAGCGTAAAACATTTATTTTTTTTTGTGGCCGACCTGCATAATGTACTGTACCTCCTTTCCAGTTGTGAAAAAATAAGCATTGTTGATTTAAATACTGTACAGTATCTAAGTTCTTCACTGCAAATGGTACTGGTAAAATTACTTGAATCTCATCATTGACCTGATAAAATGTCCCTTTAAATATTTAATTCTTCAAAATGTTTTCATTAATGATCTCGGCATTCAAATCTTTTCAAAAAATTGAATCGGTGCCATGAAAAAATTTCAAGAAGGCATAAGAAGGGTGCCGATGGAAAGAATTCCGGGAGAGAAAATCGCGACAAAAGACGATGCTTAGTGATAAAGAGGCAATTGAAAAGCAGTGATTCTTTTTATTTGATATTTTCATTTACGTCGGTAAAAAAAAAATGGGTCGATTATTAAAGCATGGCGTATTTTTTGAATTCGTGTGACTGCAGTTCGGTTTGCACTCAAATATCTGGAGCTTAGACCACACATGAGATCATCAAGGCAACGACTCAGGAGAGCCTTCAGAAAAAAAGGTCTTTCTGAGGATTGATCCGACTGCTGATTAACTGATATAACTACACAAAGCAGCAAACCGAATAATTCTTAAAGGGGGGAATTGTTTAGTAGCTATTCTTTATTCACTAGATCATCGGTTCAGGGTTACGACTAAAGCTTATTGTTCATCAGAACCCCGGGGTTTAATCTTACTTTTTGAAGTTGAAGAAGAAAACGTCGCCATGATGAGATGACTCTCTTCGATCATCACGCAAAAATCCACCCAGCTTCAGAAGAAATATAATAAAGTATTTTCTAATCCTGGTGGCATGCAGTTACCCGTCCTCTTGTTTGCAGAAATTATTCGTGATTTTTATAATTTTGGTTCGACTATCATGCGAATTTCATAGATGTTTTCTTTTTTTTTCAGAGCATCAGTAGAACAAAGACACATCTCTCCAACTTATGTCATGTTGGTGGGGTAAAACTCAACGCATGGTGTTGGCGTATTGAAGACGAAATTATTTGAAAGGAGCACATTTGAGCGGTCAATAATTTTGATGTATGTCATTTTAATGGTGATTTAAAAAGTAAGTACGGTATGAGCTTCCTTCGGGTGATGGCCTATCTGGGGGTGTCTTAAAAAACGCTCAGATGACAGCATGCCTCCTTTCTTGGGTCTAACAAGAGTACTGTATTTCAGTTTGACTCCTGATCATTGAAATGCACCTGGGTTGATTGGCCCCAAGTTGGGAACCATCTAAAAGGGTGAATCCTTTTGTTTTCAGAAATCTTGGATGTTAATCATACGCTAGGAATGCAACATCAACAAAAACACAACCCAATGAGGAATTTTTTCAAAAACAATTTTCTGCACAATTATAAATAGAAAAAATTATTTTCGCAACTGAGGTTTTGGTGCAGAAATACAACTTGTTTCAATGTGTACCTGTATTGCTCTAGGGCACAAAATTTTGCAAAAGTATCCCAACTTAACAGCACAAGGGTTAAAAGGGTTTCGACTTTACCTTTGAAGTGTACAATGGGTTACACGGTCCCACGCTGATCAGCTTGCATTGCTGCTGTTCTGAGTGGGAGTTTAAAAATTCAACAACTGAACATTTCAAGGCCTGTTTCAACACGTGGTGGATCAAAAGGACTGCAAAGTGTTTTCAAAAACATTGAGAAAATTTCTGCCTAGCCTCTTGGTACTTCAGAACATGAAAAGAATGAATTTAAATCATTCCTGGCGTTTGGATCATTTCAAAGTCCGCTTGGAAAGGAGTTGGTGCAGGAAAATGTAATCCCTTGTATAAAAGTGAGACCCCAAGATGTGGACATACTTGGTGCATCAAAAGTGTGCTTAAGTCAAGTCTCATTTTCCCATAGACTTACTTTACATAATTTTTAATTGGTGTTTTATGGACAAAGTACTCCCCAAAATTCCATGAAAATAAAAATTGTCTCCCAATTTAAACTGATTCAATAAATATATTTCAACACATTATGGACATTTGGGGAATTGAATACTGATACCTATGTGAAGTACATGGAAATGTTGGCATTTTCTGTGAAAATAAAATTCAATAGGAAGAGAGAAGGAAGTCACTCTATGCTGGAGGTAATTTATTTTAAATTAGCTAAATGGATGGTAAATTGGTGAGAGAAATGCCCAAGAACTTTTCTCACATCAATTTTAGGGTACTGTTTCTTATAATTTGGCCTGAAACTCATTTGCAATTTTATCACAAAATGTCTCTATGTTGAGTCAGTGTCCTCATGTTGGGCCTTTTTAATTAATCTTTTCTGGGAATACATAAGTGTCCCTATGTTTGAATTGTCCGCATGTTGAGGTGTCTGCATGTGGGGGTCTCACTGCATACTGTATATAGTCCTCACTTGGTCTCGTTGTTGTAGGTGTACGAGCTGCGATAGAAGCCCACGAGGTTGTCGTGCAAGAACCCGGCAAAGTCCATGGACACCGTGTAGTTGCTGCCCCGCACCAACGCGAACCCCGACCCGGACCCGGGGTCCAAGTGCACCGTGTAAAACTCCGACCCCGGGTGATACGTCTGGCCCACCACCTTCAACGCGACCCCGGCGTCACGCCCACCACCCACACCCACGACTCGCACAGTCTCCGTCACCACACTCAGGTTCCTCGCATGCACAGTCACGTTATTCGCGTCCCGCAAACACTCAAAGTCAATCGACACGCTGCCACGCGTCACGAAATTGCCGGGCTCGAGAAACGGCTGCAACTTGACTCGGTAAACAGTCGGTCGCAGGTGATTCGGCAGCAGCACGTCGGCCAACGTGCGTCGGGGTCTTGCGGCGGAGGACGCTTCCGTCGCGGCGGCGGCGCCGCCCGACGTTCCTGCCGATGCTGCTCCTCCCGCGGCGGCGCTGCTGCTGCTGGCTCCTGCGGCGTCCCCGGCTTTCGTGAACTCGTGCACGAAAATGCCGGTGAGGATGAGAGCTGCGAGGACTGTGCAGGCGGCGAGGAGCAGCGTGAAGCGGGACACGCGAATGGCGCCGGAAGACGACATCACGGACGGATCCGAGAACTCCATCGCGGCCCGGTCGCCGGTGAGAAGTGCCGAGTCCGTCGTCGCCATATCGAGAAAACAAGGCGCCTGCAAAGTGTTGGCCAGGAATAAAAAAAAAGCAGAAAGGGGATTGGGGCGGGTGAAGCAAAAAAAAAACAGCAAATAACAACGAAAAATTATCGAAACAGGCGAGAAGAAAAAAAAAACAAAAAAAGGAGGAATAAGAAACAGGGCGCCCTGGCACATCCAACTGTGCTTATTTTTTTCCTCCTCCTTCTTCTTCTTCATCTCCAATCCACTCTGGATCCATCCCTTTTCCACTCCCACGCTTCCCTCAAACGCTGGTTGAGGAAACGATGATTTGTCCAGCATGTAAAACCACACCGCATGGACAGGAGGGGGGAGGAAATCCCATATCATGAACGATTCTCATTACTGCGTTGAACTTATCGCCTGCTGTTGGGTCTTCAATCTTAAATCCAATTGAACCTATATTCTACTACTAAAGGGGGCCCCTAAATGACCAAAAACGAACCCCTTTTTTTGAGCAAATGGACATAAACCGGGTCTGAGAACATAAATAGGTGTTTTTGGGCATCCAACAAATACCATAGTGAACTAGACTAGGCGCCCAAGCAGGGAAATTGGTGCATACTGGGAATATGCTTGTAATTCTACACAGGTGTACCCTGCTGTACACCTGAAGTGTACCAAAGTTCTTCTGTTGCACATGCATATCCCTAACGTGCACCAATTGTGTGTTCACACCAGGATTACTCAGGGTTACATTTGTAAACAAATAAGTTACACTGAGGTTACAGTTGGTGCATTTGTGTGATACTCCTGATATGTCACATTTGTGCACCAAGTGTAGCCCTGGAATGGTAGCAACATTTCCTCTACAGGAGTGCATACTCATAACCCCAGAATATCCCATATGCACCAGTTGTGACCCTGGTGTGCACCTACTGTGAAAAAAACTGCGTCAATTGTGCAAAGATTATCAAAGCCGACTTATTGAACGTTCAGATTTCTTGGAAAATATTTCAAAGACTCTTAATTTCTTGTAAATAAAAACTTTTTCCCGTTTTTTCTTTTTTTGAATTTTTTTGTAATACTTTGTTATTTGTTTTGTTTCATTATTTTTTAAATCATTGTTTTTTTCAAGAGCTTGTGTACTTCCCTCAATCAGTAGCAAAGTAATGAAGTTCAACCAGCGGCGACTACCAAACTGACAAATGAAGACTACCAGTCCTGAAAAAAAGTTCGGGCGGGGCTTTCGTTACAGCTGTGCGCCGGTATGGCGGGGATTTCGTGTCAGGGCTATTGTTGAGCGGGGCTTTCGTGTCCCGGGCTTTCGTCGCGCGGGGATAGTGAGGGTTTCCCAATTTAAACTGATACAATAAATATATTTCAACACAAAATGGACATTTGGGGAATTTAATATTGATACCTATGTAAAGTACATGGAAATGTTGGCATTTTCTGTAAAAATAAAATTCAAGTGAAAGAGAGAAGGAAGTCACTCTATGCTGGAGATAATTTTTTTGAATTAGCTAAATGGATGGTAAATTGGTGAGAGAAATGCCCAAGAACTTTTTTACATCAATTTTAGGGTTGGAAATAAATGTTTCTTGTAATTTGGCTTGAAATGTACCGTATTTACTCAAGTACCAGGCACCCTTGAGTAAGGCACGCACCCCCAATTTTTTGTGTGAAAATTGCCCAAGAACTCATCCCCATCTATGACGCGCACCCCAGTTTTTGCTAGGTAGAAATTTATTTTCAAAAATATTTTTATACAACTGAAAAAGGAATAAATTTATTCTGCTGCCTCCAGTCTTGAATACAGGACTCAGAAGTACCAAACTGGCAACCTGCTGCACATTTCCCTATTTTTTCAGCCTGTGAGTTGAAAGTTGAAACCACTTTCAACTTCTTACTAGCAGTGAGAGAATGCAAATGTTAATGTTTTCTTCTTACAATGCCATATCCTGGTGGTGAACTGATTTTTAGTGCACTAAATGTTTTGAAATTTTATGGCTATTGCATGTGGATCCATTTTGAACATCAATATTTTGTCCTCCCTCCTCTTTAATGTCCACTGGAGCAGCAGTTGAATGTGCTTACATTTGAGGGCAGCTTATGCTATTAAAGATGAAAATTTGCCACATCTTTTACTTCTTGTTGCATCTCAGATATGATTCTTATTGGAGAAAAATTGTCCCTGCTTGAAAGTACTATACTATTCCTAAAATTGCTTTCCCTTCAACCATATTTCAAATTAAAATCAAGACTGGGCCCCACCAATTTCCTCTTATGTATTTTTTTTAAGTACCCACATACGGCGCGCAGAGTTTTTTCGAAATTTTCATTGAAAATTTTATCCCTGGGTACCAGGAGCATCCTTTTTTTCTTCCTTAATTTGGGAAAAAAGGTGCGCATGGTACTCCAGTAAATACAGTATTTGCAATTTTATCACAAAATGTCTCTATGTTGAGTCAGTGTCCTCATGTTGGGCCTTTTTAATTAATCTTTTCTGGGAATATAAGTGTCCCTATGTTTGAATTGCCGCATGTTGAGGTGTCTGCATGTGGGGGTCTCACTGCATACTGTATATAGTCCTCACTTGGTCTCGTTGTTGTAGGTGTACGAGCTGCGATAGAAGCCCACGAGGTTGTCGTGCAAGAACCCGGCAAAGTCCATGGACACCGTGTAGTTGCTGCCCCGCACCAACGCGAACCCCGACCCGGACCCGGGGTCCAAGTGCACCGTGTAAAACTCCGACCCCGGGTGATACGTCTGGCCCACCACCTTCAACGCGACCCCGGCGTCACGCCCACCACCCACGCCCACGACTCGCACAGTCTCCGTCACCACACTCAGGTTCCTCGCATGCACGGTCACGTTATTCGCGTCCCGCAAACACTCAAAGTCAATCGACACGCTGCCACGCGTCACGAAATTGCCGGGCTCGAGAAACGGCTGCAACTCGACTCGGTAAACAGTCGGTCGCAGGTGATTCGGCAGCAGCACGTCGGCCAACGTGCGTCGGGGTCTTGCGGCGGAAGAGGCTTCCGTTGCGGCGGCGGCGCCCGACGTTCCTGCCGATGCTGCTCCTCCCGCGGCGGCGGCGCTGCTGCTGCTGGCTCCTGCGGCGTCCCCGGCTTTCGTGAACTCGTGCACGAAAATGCCGGTGAGGATGAGAGCTGCGAGGACTGTGCAGGCGGCGAGGAGCAGCGTGAAGCGGGACACGCGAATGGCGCCGGAAGACGACATCACGGACGGATTCGAGAACTCCATCGCGGCCCGGTCGCCGGTGAGAAGTGCCGAGTCCGTCGTCGCCATATCGAGAAAACAAGGCGCCTGCAAAGTGTTGGCCAGGAATAAAAAAAAAGCAGAAAGGGGATTGGGGCGGGTGAAGCAAAAAAAAAACAGCAAATAACAACGAAAAATTATCGAAACAGGCGAGAAGAAAAAAAAAACAAAAAAAGGAGGAATAAGAAACAGGGCGCCCTGGCACATCCAACTGTGCTTATTTTTTTCCTCCTCCTTCTTCTTCTTCTTCTTCTTCATCTCCAATCCACTCTGGATCCATCCCTTTTCCACTCCCACGCTTCCCTCAAACGCTGGTTGAGGAAACGATGATTTGTCCAGCATGTAAAACCGCGCCGCATGGACAGGAGGGGGAGGAAATTCCATATCATGAACGATTCTCATTACTGCGTTGAACTTATTGCCTGCTGTTGGGTCTTCAATCTTAATTCCAATGGAACCTATATTCTGCTACTAAAGGGGGCCCCTAAATAACCAAAAGCAAACCACTTTTTCGAGCAAATGGACATAAACCGGGTCTGAGAGCATAAATGGGTGTTTTTGGGCATCCAACAAACACCATAGTGAACTGGACTAGGCGCCCAAGCAGGGAAATTGGTGCATACTGGGAATATGCTTGTGATTCTACACAGTGACCCTGCTGTACACCTGAAGTGTACCAAAGTTCTTCTGTTGCATGTGCATATCCCTAATGTCCACCAATTGTGTGTTCACACCAGGATTACTCAGGGTTACATTTGTAAACAAATAAGTTACACAACCTAGGTTATAGTTGGTGCATTTGTGTGATACTCCTGATATGTCACATTTGTGCACCAAGTGTAGCCCTGGAATGGTAGCAACATTTCCTCTACAGGAGTGCATACTTGTAACCCCAGAATATCCCATATGCACCAGTTGTGACCCTGGTGTGCACCTACTGTGGGGTCACAGCAAAAATAGCTCCCCACTCTGGCATATGATGATTTGTCTGGCATGCAAAAGTGGACCGCTTGGACAGGAGGAGGAAATTCATTTTCATGAGCAATTTTCACTTCCTTTATTGCCTGTTGGGTCCGTATTTTTAAATCCAACCAAACATATTCTACAATAAATACGGCTCTAATTAACTAAAGAGCCATTTTTTTCAACAAAGGAGCACCAGAAAATACAACGTTACACGCACTAGTGGTAATGGACATGAACTGAGTCTGAGGACGTAAATTGGCGCTTTTTGGGCGTCCATCAAAAAACATAAACTGGATTGGACATTTAATGATTTGTCCAGCATGCAAAACTGTACTACTTGGACAGGAGGAGGACGTTCTTCATTATGAACAATTCTTACTGTGTTGGAGTTTTCGCGATTGGATTTATAATTTTAAATACTGTACAGCGAAACCTATTCTGCAAATACAGTGGGTCCAAGATATTAAAAAAAAAACATTTTTTGAGCAAAGGAGCAGACGTAGAAAAAATGAAGTTAAATTTATGAGTGAAAAAGGACATAAACTGGATCTCAGGACATACATTGGAATATTTTGGGCATCTAAGCAACAACATAAACTGGATTTCAGTAATTACAGTATCTTAAAATTTTTTTAAAATATGAACTGTACTGAGCAAAAAAACCTCCAACGTACTTTTGAGACACGATTACAATAGTAATTTTTTTTTTAATTCAACGAAAAGGGATTTTGTGCAATTGTATTCCAAAAGGCTAATAATTATCGAACATTTTTGAATCGGACCAAAATAATCGAAACGTTTTTCCCGAGGTATACGTTTCTGAATGGATACTTTTCTTATTCCAGACGGCGCCAAACCATTTATTTTCCTTTCTGTGCAATATCTTGATTCATCGGACCGAAACGAGACTGTAAACATTTGTCGCCCCTCGGAAACTCATTCCTTCTTTGATTCGACGACAGATTTCAACGAACAGCATCAGAAGAACCAAAACAACTTTGATGACACTTGTCAATTTGAACAATTTCGGATTTTTTATTTATTATGATTTCACGGGGAAGTGGATCTCACTGGAGCAAGTTGGAGTACAACACAATATTTACGAGGGTGTCTGCTCAAATATATGTAAATATTCTTCGCGAAAACGAAAACGAATCATTATAAAAAAAATATAGGGTCATAAAGAATGGAAAGCCTCCGAATTGATTAAATCAACTTAATAGTGAGCACTTTTCTCAGACACAAGGAATGTCAACGGTTCAGATGCGGTTGAACCTACATTTTTCCAGGAAAAGATCATCTCTTAATATTTATTTTATTTTTCCGGTTTATTTTTTTTTTCATGTTTTCATTCAGTTTAATCTCATTACGACGAAGCCTTTGGGATCTTAAAAATCTGCATATTGAAAAGAATGTTGAGACTCAAGAAACATAGTTGAATTGAAGCTTCAATACCTTGGATCAATTATGTCTGAGCAAAAATTCAATTGTGAGTTTCAGTGTTGAAATATTCCACACATATTTAAAATGTCCACTGTATTGAACTTGACTTCGAATTTTGTTTTAAATTAATAATTATAATGTTTTATTTTATTTTGAACTAGAATAGTGACCTTCCTGCTGGGATTTTTGTGATGATCAACTCAAGCAAAACCTAACTTCTAACAATTTTTTCGCCTGTCCAGAAGAATAACATTAAAAAAGTCACTCCATACTTCCATTGTGCAGGGACAAACACGAGGGGTGCAAATAAAAGCTAGCACCATCACAGTCTGAAAATTTCACTGGATGCACAAAATTTCTTTAAAATTCGAAGAGCCAATTGAAAATAATCATACATAAACAGGAAAGCAAATTTTTTTCATCAATCTTTAAGAAAAAACTTCGTAAGAAATTTGTATACTAATTAAACTGATCACACGTCGAAGAAATTCGATTCGAAAATCAGCCTTTTTTTGTGAACACAATTTGATTGAAAAAGTGGATAAGTGCCAAGGAATTCTTATTTTGAGCATTTTTTTATTCTTTCTTAGAAAAGAAAAAGCTTGTTGGACGGAGATTATCCTTGTTAAATTTTAGATTTCCCCCAATTTCTACAAGAAAATCGTGTACAAACAAGGCATCAATTTTCCGAAGAAATAAGAGTGATTTTGGGCTTCTTACACGAAAGTCCAATTTATTTTTTCATAGTGAAGAAAAGGGCTTTTGGAACTGAGTTTAACGTTCCTGTCCCCGTGAAAAAAGCATAGCTTGAATGTGTAAACAAAATACATGTTTTCGAATTATGGATTACCCAACTCTTCTTTTTCAGAGAAAAGTGGTTTTAATTTCTCTTCACGTTTCATAAAAAAAAAATCACCATTCGGTAAAACAAGAGAATTGAATTTTATTTCGGAAAACAATTTCTAATTTTCAAACTTTTCTGTCGTTCCTGTCACTGAAATCACGGAAGTCTTGTTCCAGACACATCTCATCAGTCCAAAACACCCCGATGGAAGTTTTTCCCGCACAGTAACTCGCATCTCTGTACTCGTGGATTTAAAATTACCAAGTACTGCGATTTAAAAAAAAAATTAAAATGCCCGTCCGATTGAATCACAGATTTCAGCCTGGGAAATGAGTGTGACCTCATCATCAAGCTGATACGGTATTTAGAAAGTCTGCCTCTTATTCCAATCAACCGGCGTCAACTAAACATTTTTTCCAAACACACGTCCACTAAACTATTCCTCATCGCCAAAACAAAACAAAAAACAAAAAAACCCCAGAGGCAGTCCGTAAAATTTTCAAAAATCCGAATCCGAGGATAAAATAATAATGAAAACTAGAAAGAAAATTTCTTACTCTAAATCTTATACGAATATGTACAGTACTTGAATATGGGATGCATTAAAAGTTTAAAACACACTCAATAACTCAACGCACTGACCAAAACGATCCAACCAACCGCGCGAGGGCCCAATGACGAAGACTTGAATCTCCGCTAGTCGGCCAAGTAAAACTTCCACTTCATTTCTCTTTCTCCAATTTTTTTTTAAATGCTCATTTATAATTTTATAGCTCAGCTCATATAATAGTGCGATGCATTCCCTTATGCTGGACGCACCCAAAAAAACGAAGAAAAAAAATTAGAACGCGCGGGTCGACGGGACACGCATGTTAAGTGCGATCCCGCCTATATAGACCAAAGTCGATTAAGCTCGCTTCTAAATCGGGGAAAAAAGAATAAAATGGAAAGGAATAACGTAGAGAGAAAAAAGAAGTTTAGAATCAAATCGGAGATGCAAAACGTGAAGCTGGAGATTAAGCAGTCACTCGGGGGCTTTGACACACGCAGCAAGCTTCACTATTGCTAATCCATGTGGAAATGTAACTTGCTATCCGAAGGATTATTATTCGCTTTGGATTTTACTTTTTTTTAATAAATATTCAGCCTCTTTAAAATAACCACGCCTATATTCGAACATGATGATTGCTTCTGGTAAGATTCAGGAGAATAAAAATGCTGCATGAATTTCTGCACGAAAACGCGCGGGTTTTTGGCTTGATGAGTTTCAGTGCCGGGAAGATTTGGGCACCTCCCAAATCAGCGCTTGCCAAAACATCACGAGTCCACGACATCAATAAGAAAGACAGTTAAAGTGAAAAGCGAATCGAACATTAAATAGAGGCTCAAAAATGCCTAATATCATGTATGCAATCAAAATCCGCTCAAAATTATCCTTGCTGAGTGTCCAAAAAATGTAGTTCTTTTTCAAAATATTGTACCATCATTGAATATATCTCCGCACACTTTAAATATTTCTCCGCATTATTGCAGCGTATACTTGTGCAGTTTACCGCGAAGAATTTTTTTCTCTCGCAGAAATCCTTTTACCTGCTTGACAGCTTGGAAAATATTTTGCGCATGCTGTTTTATGCTAAAGCATTTCAAAAATGTTTTCCGCATGATGCAAGCGATGATATTAGACTTCTGTATGTGTTTTGGCATCCAATGTTTCTAATTTAGAATCATGTAA